TCCTCCCTCCTCCCTCCTCCTCTCCCCTCCTCCCTCGTGGGCTGTGCTGTCCTCCGCTCGGTGAGGCGGGGCCGCCGCCGTCCCCCGAGGCGGCCACGGCGCCCTCGCCGGCCCACTCGAACCAGATCCGCGCGGGCGCGCGGCACGCCCGGAGCGACAGCGGAGCGCCGCGGTGGGCGCGCCGCGGCGCCAGCGGCTGCGTGCAGGCGAGCCAAGCGGCCTCGGGCGCGCCGGCGGGCGCGCCCGCCTCGAGAGGGGACGCGCGATGCCAGGCTGAGACTGTCCCTCTGCCTTCCGCCGCCTTCCGCCGCGGAGGAGGTGGCAACTCCGTCGATTCTCGAAGGCAAGGTATGGGTGCAGTATGTTTGCCCTCCACCTCCACCTTCGATACCTTCCAACCTCCGCGGAAGGTGCGGAAGGGAAGAATCCAGGGAAGCTCATGGAAACCTGACGCAATTCTTCAAGGACGCCCACGTAGATCACACCGGAAAAGTGGAGGAAGGTTACGGCGGAAGGTCCGGAAGAGTGAGGGGGAGAGTGCCTAGACTCCCTCGCGGTGCGACAAACAGCGCGACTGGGGGTCTTTGACTCTTTTCGGCCTCTGGGGGCCCTTACCGGGCCTGGGGCCCGTCGAAAAACGACTCAGGACGACGAATCGGTCCCGGGGAAGGGATCGAGACCTCCAGAGTCGACAACATGAAAAAATCATGACGTCGGGGGTCTGGGTATGGCGGGTTCCGGAAACCAAAAGCCCATACATGTTGTCATCCCTCGGAAGCACATCTTCTACTTCTGCCGGCTCGCGCTGGCCTTCCGCCGGCTTCCGCCTTCCACCGCCCTCGATGCCTCATATGTCCTCCTCGGAAGCATGCGCCCGACACGAGCATGTATGAAGGGGAACTGGAACACACAAATAAATACGCACAAATTCATATTCCCCATATTTTTTCAAATATTTTCTGGGTCTTTGCCCTCCCCCCACTTCCCACATTTTCCCATCTTTCTTGGGGATCGACGATTAATTGTGCCTGTGTGTTTTCTTCCCTCCTGAATGTAGTACAACCGTCGTGTAATATGTCGTTCCCCGAACGGTATGGCCAGAAGCCGCCCGCCGCCGAGCATATACCGTGAGATGTCTCGGCGCGCGCCTTGCCCCTTTGGGGGCGACGCGCACACAGTCTTAGTACGTTTGAATCACGAGCATTCGCCATCGCTCGGACGTCCATTTCCAGTGCATTTTTCGGTGTCGTGCGTGTTTGTTTTGCTCGATGGTCCAGGATCGTCCTCAATGGTTCTCGCCGAAAACAATGCACACGTCCGAGCGATGCCAAGAGCAATCATCGGACACCATCTGCTCGGACCCCATTTGGGAGACCTCTACAAGCGGCATAAACGTGATTTCTCTGAGATCCACGCGGGTTGGATCGGCGCTGGACTCAGGGGCGGCGCCGGAGGCGCCGCCCGGAGGGCCCAGCGCCGATCCGAGAAATCTGCGCAGACCTCCCAGAGCGTATGCTCATACGGTTTTGTTCGCATGCTTCGGGCCTCGGCATCGGGGGCGTCCACCCAGAACGCGACGCCAGACACGATAGCGCCGCCTGCCACCGAGAAGGAGAGCGGCTGCGAGTCCAGGTGGAACTCCATGGCCTCTGCGGCCAGGTCACGAAGGCGCACCTCTGAGCATCGCTCAAGCGATCCCTGGCTCTCCCCCCCTCCTCTCGTGCCCATCCCTCCTCACCTCATCCTGCTCCTCCTCTCCTCTTCCTCCGCTCCCTCCTCCTCCTCCTCCTCCCTCCTCCTCCTCCTCCTCCTCCTCCTCCTCCTCCTCCTCCTCCTCCTCCTCCCCTTCCTCGTCCTCCTCCCCCTCCTGCCCCTCCTCCTCCCCCTCCTGTATCGTATGCGAGTAGAGCTGGTAAGACAGAGAAGTCTTCTGGGCGAACGGAGCCAACTTCTCTCATGGCGGAGGCTTCTGGGAAAGCGAGGCCATTCTGCCATCAGTGTGTGCATCTTCACATGGATTGATTTGTCCTTCTTTCCTCTTCCCTCCCCTCTCGCCCCTTCCTGCCCCTTGCTTTCCCTCTTCCTTCCCCCATCCATGGGTAGAGCCGGTCAGACGGCAATCAACGACGAGATTGGCCGGTGTTCGCTGACAGGCTGAGTGCAGATGTGCATTGTGTCACATGTCGTCCCACCTCGCTCTTTCTGCTCTCGTTCTCTCCTTGCGCTGTCTCTCTCACTCTCTTTCGCAACCGTCGGCATTTAAGTGCTCAGTTGGATAAGACTGCGGCGCTCAAGGCGTACCAGACACGCGGCACACATGTGGGCTGATTTTGAGCAGAGCGCAAAAAAACAAACGGAAAGGACACCCTGGCACAGTCAACCGGCGCTTGCGCGACACGCCTACGGACATTGCACTATGACATCAGATCTTCAATTTTACATGTTTCCCGTATTCCTTTTTGCACTCCCTCTTCATCTACGCGTACGTCTTGTACTACATTCCATATTCTACACCACGCACGCGTTTACCGTGCATTCTCAAATCCATAATTTGCATATATTGTGAATTCTGCAATGACCATGTGGGAGAGAGTCTTAACCAAAGAATTCGATCTTTCACAACTTTGCCACGCAGCCGTCCAGCACTATAGGCTGCTGTTGCTGCTGCTACTGCGTACGAGTGCATTGTGTTATGCTGCGTCGTCTTGGGGATGACCGTTGCACAGGAACACACGGTGGACACACTGGCAGACACGATTGCGCGCACGATTCCAGACCGCATAATATTTGGGAGTTCGGTTTATGAGAAGTCCGCCCTTTTCCAGAACCTGCAGACGTGCCTCGCGATTTCTCTCTCATGGATTTTCCTGTAAACTAGAAGCACTACCGCAGACAGCGTACACTAACCCCGCTCAGCACGTACATGTCGCACAAATGTGGTCTACTATGCATGATCTGGTTCATTGAGCGCGCACATGTGGGCATCCTCACACGAAAGCTCCCAACGCACATGCAACAATGTTTTTTGGGTTATGGAGAATATTCAAACAAGTTGTCATGCCGGTTGTATTGTTTTCAGATATGGGGTATTTTGCGCGCGAGTACTCCCGATGATGACGGCAGAGCGTTCAACTACGTCAATTTTTCTCAACTACACCGGCTATGGCAGAACTTGCCAGAAATTGCAAGAAATTACCAGAAATTGTAAGAACACTACTGCAGGCGTGCATTGTGGGACTTGCGCACGTTTTGTCGAACATAATTATGCAGCGTGCCGGCCAGACCAGCAGCTTGCTTGTCGGAGGCGTTACAAATACTGGCGTTCTTTCCGCTGGAGAGCCTCTGTTTCGTAATCGTCGACGTGGGTGATCACAACCCGGGCGTCCTGTCCAAGGAACAGTCTATCATCCACAAGCTACGTGCACCGACGCAGGTATCGAAGGTTCGCACTTCCCGCTCACATCGTGCACCACATGTTCGCTGCATGTCTGGCACACGTCGTCGTAGGCCGTTCCCTGATTCTCGCAGACAACAACAAGAACATTATGTTGAGAAGCGTGTTGCCAATAACATCACCAAGTTCCACATGAAGTTTTTGAATGGCACGGGCGGGCGACGATTTGGTAGGGACGATTGTGAATATCGGCAGCGGTCTTCCTTCAACCACTTGTACCGTATGTTCCTCCTCGCCGGGTCGCTCTCCCCAATCTGGTAAGGTGTTCGTTAAGGTGGTTCGCAAGTTTATGGATTTCCGCATCTACGTGTTCGTACTATGGAAACTATCCAAATGTGTGCTGTATGGTATCTACCGCGTCTGGTCTACTCGTCGGCAACTGTGGTGGTACGTGCTATGCAGATCACGAACCACAGGGTGTTCGGCATCAGTGTCTACAGAGTTCGCGGTGGGCCAACTGTGCGCGGCGTGGAGAACGCCCTGCGCAGATATCTCGTGAACGCGCCAAATGTCTTTGCGAATTTCATCATGTCCCGTACGTACGTGTACCATTTATCGCCACCCACTTTTGCATCGAAGTGCACATCCTACAGGAGAGCAGCGAATCGGATCGATCTTGACATGGTGCCCGGTATGCATGTTAACTATGTAGCACTTTTGCGACGTAAGCGAGATTGTCGTTTTTTGCCGCAGAGTTGGGATGTACCTGTACACATGACACAGCATGATCCACACGCGCACATGCACACGCAGTTTTCTGGATGTTTGACACATTGGCATTTCCCTGTGGGTGATGCGTACGACTCCGTGGTTCTATCGTGTGCATGTACATCCGGTCGTGGGTTCGTCTCCGCACCTCACGCGTATACATGTTATACACGCTCGTTCTATGTTGGATCTCGGGAGTATGCGTGTGTAGTTGGCCACGATACGAACGCGCGCATGGTACGGTCAGTCGACGGGTATTTGCACAATTGCATGATACACTTCTCTGCGATCCTCAACATTGGAAATACAATCACAGACAAGACAGAGAACGCTGTCTCCGTCGTGTGAGGCAATTGCACGACGATTGCGTTCCCAGAGGATGGCAACTCAGTAATCACACAGCATGGCGTTTTGAGTGTTCAGGGCACGCGTACGTGAACCCAAAGCGTTCCTGTTACGGCGGTGAAGCGGGACATGGAACGTGTTCTTGCACGCATGATCGCTGCAAAACCCGGGTGCCCTTTGAAGAAGAAATCTCGCTTGGCCGCCAAAGCCTTGCGCACATTGCAAAAATCACAATCCGGGTTTTCTTGGACACTGTGGAGCATGCGGGACATCTGCCAGGTTGCCAACCAACGTTTTCGTGATCTACGTCCGTCTTCTGCCCGTGGTGTCTGCGTGAAGTGTGGCGCAGCGAAACCAAGAGTGGTATCTGGGCGATGGGATGTGAATTCGTTCTTCTCCACTGCAATCCGTCGAGGATTTGTGCTGCAGGGTGTCCCTGCGCACAGGCAAGTCAACACTCACGATCCCTAAGAAAAGGATGAGAACACCATACCTTGGCGGGAATTTGACGTATCATGCTGCGGATCACGATGTCCTCTCTTTCGACCAGATCTTTGGCATGGCGAAGTTCGGAGTGCACAACAGTTTCTACCGCCTAGGGGAATACATACTAGAGTGCGTGTCAGGCTTGCCCAGTGGTGGTTGTATGCCTGAACCAATGGCAGCCGTCCTTCCAGGATCCAGACTACATCGACTGCATACTGAGCGCGAATTTCGTCAGTGGTAAGGTTTGAACATACTAGGGTACGACGTGAACCACATGTTATGCGTAATCCTACATGTAGACGACATGGCGGTATGCTCCAACTGTTTGTGTCTTGGGTGCTTGGAGGAATCTGTGGAGACAGATATGCCTGATCCACTTGGGACTACTCGGGAAGAACTCGGGCCACATTTCAGGATGTTAAACACAAACTGGGAGGGTGCATGATACACATATTGCTATATCGTACCACAATGAAAACAAGGAGTCTGCCATGGGTATTCCTAACCGTCAAGCTGTAACGAGGATCATTCCTTGGTGGAAAAATAATGTCACACCAAATATGGTTTTGTATACATATGCACAAGGTCGTATATCACGAGTACAGCATGTATCCACAGGTGCAGGTCAAGAGGTGCAGGCGTATTGGGAGATGTGTGCGGAGTTCGTGCTGTTGGGGTACCCATTGCACGTGGTCCACAATGCGCTCGCCCGTGTTCTTCCTTCGCGACAGACTCCAGCACTTGTATTCATCCGGGATGTTCTGCGCAACGTGCACCCGATAATGATGATTCGATTGCATATGAGTTTCACTTCGACGAGGAGCTTGCAGACAGCTTCATCATCGTTATGTTATGTCGTTTTCCTCTTCCTCCCCGTCCTCTTCTTCACAATCACACTTTGGTTCTATACATGTGACAGCACATCCTGCTTCTTTCTCACTGTGCCAGAGGCGAGACCCCGCGCGTTCAGCCCTGTCGTGGCAGCAGGGACAAGGCTCTTGGCAAAACACGTGGCAGAACGGCTGGGGCAACGGCAACCACTACCAGCAACAGGCCCGTCTCCACTAGAACTCCGGGCAGCCGGAGAGGCCAAGAGGAACCAGGATATGGAGCAGACAGTGAGCAAGTGCATGTCCAAGCTCGTCCCGCAGCTCATGGAGAAGATGGGCAGCAGCGGCGCCGGCGGGCCTGCTGGCAGCAGCGGCGCCCGCGGCGACCTGGGCGTGTTCAGCGTTCCGACGTCGTTGCGCAACGAGGTGGGCCCCGCCCTGGTAGCCGCCGTAGCGGAGAGGCTCAGCAAGAGGAAGTCTGGGCCACCACTCGCGGCGCAGGCTCCAGCGCTGAAGCGCACGAAGGGCTTAGACGTCCAGGTGCCCAAGAAGACGACTGACACGGTGCACCCGGTCGTCCTGCTGCACTGGCAGGCGAGCCTGGGCTGCGCCAAACTGCCCAAAGCGAGCACCACGGACTCCGTCGTGGCAGCGGTACTCCCGAACGCTGCGGCCGTCGCCAAGGCCGCCGAGAGCTTGAAGGCTCACGCGACCAACCCGCTGGTCAAGCAGCTGGGCAAGAAGCCGCAAAAGGAGAACAAGCTCAGGGTTGCACTCATGCTCTGGGCCGAGGACGCCGTCGGGGAGTACGGCAACGGCGACGACGAGGACGCCGACGATGAGTAGGGACAACGCGGTGGCGTCCTATCACAGATCGGAATCATCACTCGCAGACTTGCCGTCATCTCTTTCTATTGTGCTGTGCTGTATTTTGTGTATTGCGTGGGAACGACTTCATGGGAGCCAATTTGGCACATTGTGTCAGAGAGCAGCGTCCACGCGTTGCTCACGGGCGGTGCCTTGGGGACTGATGCCCGCCTGAACGTCTTCGACGTGGTTGTGGCTCTCGCGGCTGCCTACTGCAAACGCTGGCAGACTCCATGGGCTGGGGCCGCCGGTTTGGCAACGGCGGCAACAATGTATCTGTCTCCATCGATACCGTTCTGGTTCCGCGCTCTGCTCTTCGGGCCGGGCGCTGAGCACCCGAGTCAGTACGCACCGCAGATTCAGCAGTACATGCACAGTGCGCCTGGGCCACAGCCAGGTTTCGTGCCGCATGCCCCTTGGGTACAGCAGGGGTACCCGGCGCATGCGTGACAGCAGAACCCGTATGTCACCATGCAGTGGCAACCGCCAGGCTATGCAGCAGGCTTTCTAGATAACCTACACGGCCGCTACCAGCGTCAGTGGCCGGGACAGTGGAAGTGGGAGTGATTCTGAGACCGATCTGCGTTCGTGAGGCCGTCACCGTAGGATGGCGCAACAGCATTGCAGGTGTGTGACTTTTGTTTAATTCGCGTCGTATTATGTTGCTCTACCCTACTCTGTTTTCCCCCCCCTCCGCCTTCTTCTTGACTAGACGGAGACATGGCATCCTTTCGAAGAGGCTTCAGGGTGAATGGAGCCAACCAGACCTGCTCTGGGAAGGCATGTATGTGCAGCTTGTTCTGCCTCCCCCCCGTCTTCCCCTTTGCTCTCCCCTCCCCTCCGTCAACCCCTAGCCGGAGGAATGGCACTCCTTTTGAACAGGCTTCAGGGTGGCCTGAGCTGAGCAAACTGTTTCATGTAATGTTTTGTTGTCGCAATCTCCACTTAACTCCTGTATCGTATGCGAGTAGAGCTGGTAAGGCAGAGAAGCTTCTGGGCGAACGAAGCCAACTTCTCTCATGGCGGAGGCTTCTGGGAAAGCGAGGCCATTATACCATCAGTGTGTGCATCTTCACATGGATTGATTTGTCCTTCTTTCCTCTTCCCTTCCCTCTCGCCCCGTCCTGCCCCCTGCTTTCCCTCTTCCTTCCCCCATCCATGGGTAGAGCCGGTCAGACGGCACTCAACGACGAGATTGGCCTGTGTTCGCTGAGAGGCTGAGTGCAGATGTGCATTTTGTCACATGTCGTCCCACCTCGCTCTTTCTGCTCTCGTTCTCTTCTTGCTTTTTCTCTCTCACTCCCTTTCGCATCCGTCGGCATTTCAGTGCTCGGTTGGTTTAGACCGCGGCGCTCAAGGCGTACCGGACACGTCGCACACATGTGGGCTGATTGAGCACAGCGCAGGAAAATAAAAAGAAAGAAAAGGAAAATTACCCTCCTCCTCCTCCTCCTCCTCCTCCTCCTCCTCCTCCTCCTCCTCCTCCTCCCCCTCCTCCTCTCCCTCCTCCTCCCACTGGCATGGCCTTGGCACCGCTGGCCGACTTGCTGCCCTGGATGGGGATGCAGGCTGACCTCTTCGGGCTTCGAGGGGCCTATCCCCACCTGGGTGACCTGCCAGTTGGAGGCGGCCGGAGTGTCTGAACTGGTGGGGGCCCCAGAAACTCGGCCCGCAAGGGGGAAATATGGGCCCAACCCGCTCAGAATCGGTCCCTGGACCCATCCTGGTGTAATCTTTCGGCCCGGATGCGTTTTTTCGACTGTCCTGGAGGCCAGAAAGTGGCCCCCAGATGCCGAAAAGCACTAGACAAAAACCCTCGAACCTGCCCCCCCCCCCCCCCCCTTTCTGCTGGTCGGAACCAGTGCTGGGCCACCTCAGTGGAGGCCTAGACTTATGTCGGGCGTGTCCCCCTACATGGGGGTTTTCGACGAAAAATAAAAAATACCCAAAAAATACCACAAGAACGTAACAAAATACTCAAAAAATGATTCCCAGACATTTTTATATTATTTTGGGGGTCTGTCTTATTTTTCGTCGAAAATCCCCCTGTAGGGGGACAGGCCCGACTTAAGCCTAAGGTTTTCAAGTCGCGTGATATTTTCTAGCCCTCCTGGAAGGTCAGGGAAGGCGCCCCCGCCGCCGACCACAGATCACAAGAACTCTGAGCGCGGGGCGACGCCCACGCAGCTTCAGCAGGATCGTGAAGGGGAACTGGGACACACAGATAGATACACACAAATATCCAGATTCCCCATATGTCCATGTTTTCTGGGCTTTTGTCTTCCCCCCCACTTCCCATATTTTCCCGTATTTTCCTGGGGATCGACGATTAAATGTGGCTGTCTGTTTTTTCCCCTCCTGAGTTCGGGAAGCGCCGGAGTTCGGCGGCGAGCGGGGGAGGAAGTGAGGAGGGGAAGGCTGTCCCCAAAGGCTCGGAAGTCATCCGGCCTTCTGGGAGGTGGCCCGAGCCTTCCCTCCCGGAAGGCACGGGAGACCGTTCAGAAGGCGCGATGGCTTCTGAGAAGCCATCGCCGCCTGCTGAGAGGGCCTTTCTCCTTCTCACTTCCCCCCTCGCTCGCCGCCGCTGGCTCTTGCGAATCGAAGCGGGTCGACGCTAAGCGGCGCTAGAAGACGCCAAACCGACGCCCATCGACGCTAAATAAAAAGGCGCCATCTCGTCGACTACCAGACACACATCGGCGCTAGATAATGCCAAAGACAAAAGTCAGAGGGTTTACAAGGCTCCCACATGGGCGGGGCGACACACATGCGGCCGATGCCAGAAATCCTGAAACCCAAAATGTTCCCATCTCTTGGGAGCGCTTTTTTAATCTCCGCCGCCTTCCGCCAGCTTCCGCAGGCAGAGGCGGCGCCTTTCTTAACTCCCGCCACCTTCCGCCAGGCAGCCTTCCGCCGCCTCCCGCCGCGGAAGAGACGGTAACAACTCCTTCGACTCTCGAAATCGAGGACATGTTCTGGAACGCCTCATGTTCGTTTCAGAACGTTTCAAGTACATTTTCTGGAACGCCACTGAATGCTATGCACGATTCCGCGCTCCATCATCTGTCGTATCCAATTTATGTGTCCTAAAAAGGTACAATCAGTCGGCTTCTTCATGTATTTGCTTGACATTTTCTGGAACGCCTCTGGGCGACGCTGAAATTAGACGGTGCTGCACCTCCCACACGCGCTGGGGCGGAGCGCGGAGGCGGGGCGCCAGGTGGCAGGCGCCCCGCGGCCAGCGGCGCGCCAGCGGCAGCTCCCAGCCGCGCAGGCGGTCCAAGCGGGAGAGGTCGCAGCCGCGCGTGCGGGGCAGCGTGTCGTCTACGCGCTGGGTGCTGCCAGAAGCGTCACGAGCCCGCAGGACCAGAAAAAAAAGCGGCACCACCCCACCATCCCTCCTCCTCCTCCTCCCCCATCATCCCCCTCCACCTCCCACTCCTCCCCCCGTCCTCCCCCTCCTCCCCTTGGGGCTCCTCCTCTTCCTCCTCCCCTTCCTCTTCCTCCTCCCCTTCCTCTTCCTCCTCCTCCTCCTTTTCCGCCGCCTCCTCCTCCTCCGCCCTTCTTCCTCCTCCCTCCTCCCTCCTCCCTCCTCCCTCCTCCCCGCTCCCTCCTCCCTCCTGCCTCCTCCTTCCTCCCGTTCCCCCTCCTCCCTCATCGATCCTCTCTCCTCCCTCCTCGTCCTCCCCCCTCTCCCTCCTCCGTCCACCGCCATATCCTCCTCCTCCCTCCTCCCTCCTTCCGTCCCTCCTCTCCTCCTCCCCCGTCCCCCGTCCCTCCTCCCTCCTCCTCCCTCCGTCCCTCCTCCCTCCGTCCCTCCTCCCTCCTTCATCCCTCATCCATCCTCCTTCCTCCCTCCCTCCTCCGCCTCCTCCTCCTCCCCCATCCCCCCCCCCTCCTCCCTCCTCCCTCCTCCCTCTTCACTCCTCCCCCTCTTCCCCGTCTCTCTCCTTACTTCTCCCTCCTCCCTCCTCCTCCTCCCTCCTCCTCCTCCCTCCTCCTCCCTCCTCCTCCTCCTCCCTCCCTCCTCCTCCTCCGCCTTCTCCTCCTCCGCCTCATCCTGCTCCTGCTCCTCCTCCTCCTCCTCATGCTCCTCTCCTCCTCCTCCTCTCCTCCTCCTCCTCCCTCCTCCTCCTCCTCCTCCTCCTCCTCATCATCATCATCATCATCATCAGCATCAGCATCAGCATCAGCATCAGCATCATCATCATCACATCATCATCATCATCATCATCATCATCATCATCATCATCATTCATCATCATCATCATCATCATCATCAATCGTCGTCATCATCATCATCATCATCATCATCATCATCATCATCATCATCATCATCATCATCCCTTTCCTCCTCCTCCTTCTCCTCCTCCTTCTCCTCCTCCTTCTCCTCCTCTTCCTCCTCCGTCTCCTCCTCCTCCCTCCTCCCTCCTCCCCGCTCCCTCCTCCTCCTCCTCCTCCTCCTCCTCTTCCTCCTCCTCCTCCTCATCATCATCCTCTTCCTCCTCCACCTTCACGTTAGACCAACCTGAGCGTGACAATGTGGCGTTTGGGGTGGCGGACAAAAAACGACTCGGGTCAATGACACTTGGCGGGCGCCGCGGAGCATGTGATATAACGAGCACTGGAGACGACGACGTGAACTTTAGCGGTGCCAAAACACCAACACAACGGACCACCATAATAGAGCAACGACGTTTACTATTGATGGTGAGTGAAGTCGCGGCTCAGCAAGCACAATATGCTTTGGCTGTCCTGAACAGCGTGCTTGTCCCAGAGGCAGTCACTGTGGTACGGGCAGAAGTGGCACAACTAATGTTAACACAACTGCACCGAGTCGTAGCCTGAAGCAACAGACTTGTGCACGCCCCCTCAACCACGTCAGTCACCCGTCCACCACATCAAACCCGTCCCTAACACCCAACATACACCCCTGTACAAGTAGTACAAAAGGCAGAGATGAACCTGCTGGTCAGTGGCATGCCAGTAGAAGGTGTGGCTGCACGTGACTGGAGTGAGGGGTCAGTCGACGTGGGCAGGCATCAAGTCAGAGCAAAACAAACGCTGTGTGTGGCAGTCCTTGGGTTGCGGCCTTGGGCTTTTGGGGTTTAACCCGAAACACTTCGGTAAACGGACCCTCGTGCTGTTTCTAATGTGTCATTCGGGTTTAGCACGAACCCTTGATGTCCAAGATGCCTGTACAGACGATAATATAATATCACAAAAGCTGGCCTGTCCAGGCTGGCCTACATAGGCCAGAGCAGGTTAAGTCTGGCTGACAGGTCGTACTGCTGCGGGCCCACAAGAAGCAGTCGATCTGCACTTCTGTATCGAGCTGCGCATGTTGTGTGCAGGGGGGTCCTGGTTGACCCCAAACCGTAGCAGACAGGCACAGCGAGGCAGCGTGCGTACTGGCCGAACAAATGCCCGAACGGTGGGCAGAAGTTTCTGGTTGACCCCGAACTTTGAATGTGAGAGAGAAGTACCGCGAAACTTGTCGCCCACCTCCTCCTCAGCTCTCCACCACACCAAACACTCCCCCATCACCAAGCATACGCGTCTGTAACAGTTATACCAGGGGCAGGGATGGGCCTGCTGGCCAGTGAAATGCCAGTGGTCCGTTGCCCGAGCTGTGGGCAAGGGTTTCTGGTTGACCCCGAACCGTCGAGGCTAAGAGGTGGGCGCCGCCAGACTGTCGAGAGAACGAGAGGGTGTATCAATAAGAAGGGAGGATGGAGGTACGGCAGTTGACGTGAGATGCGGTCGACATGCAGCGTAAAAGGCGGAATGCCTTGCTCTTTGAGTGGGGTCGTACCCTGGCTGGGGACCTACGTGCGCAAAGCATGCAAGCTGGACGAGGAGGGTGTCCTGTATTTTTCACCGCAAAACATCTGGCCACCTCAGCTTTGATGCCTGTAATACACGACAACGACGCTGCGCTACATCCTGAAACGGAGGAAAGAACAGACGGCCGCAGACCGCGGAGACACTAGATACCCCGTGCGAGCTAAAAAGAGCACGCCGTGAAACGACTGGGAAACGGAACCCAGAACCAAGGAGAAGGAGGAGAAAGCGCAGGACAGCGCCCCCAAAGAAGAGGGGGAACAACTACGAGGCTGCAGCACAATGTGTATGTACCCCCGCTGACGCCCATGTCAGTGGCACCTCACACAGCATTGGAGCCACAAGCAGCAGAGAGAGAGAAGGAGAGAGAGCAGAGGACCAGATAACAACAACAACAACAACAACAACAACAACAACAACAACAACAACAACAACAACAACAACCATGTTAAGGCTGTACGCTCTTACTTGCCCGCGAGTCATTCAACACGTATACCCTACACCCTCGATACACGCCCTCTTCGTCTTCGATCACACCCCTTTCGGGGGGATTATTTCTCTTTGCTGGGGCCGGCGGGCTTAGACGTACGGGCAAACCGGAACGGGCGGACAATCCTTCGGGGGCGTACATCTCTCTGCCCGCCATTGGAATTGGCGCGGGCCCTGCAAGAGGAGGAGGGGAAGAACGAGGGAGAGTGGGAGGAAGGGGAGGGGGAAGGACGAAGGAAGAGGGAAGATACCACGTTGTGAAGGCGTCCTTGGCGCGTGCGTGGTTCCTGAGCGCCGAAACGCAATTCCAGAATGATTTGTGAGGACGTCGCACGCGAGAACGCAGTCCTGAGTACATTGTGAGGAAATCTCAAGCGGAACCGGGGGCCCTGACTAAGTTGCGAGGAAGTCTCAAGCGGGAGCGCCGTTCCTGAGCAAATTGCACGGAAGTCTCAGGCGGGAGCGGGGGTCATCACTAAATTGCGAGGAAGTCTCAGGCGGGAGCGCCGTTCCTGAGTCAATTGCGCGGAAATGTCAGGCAGGAGCGGGGGTCTTGAGTAAAAGTCGAAGAAGTCTCAGGCGGGAGCGCCGTTCCCACGTAAATTGCACGGAAGTCTCAGGCGGGAGCGGGGGTCTTGATTACATTGCGAGGAAGTCTCAAACGGGAGCGCCTTTCCTGAGTAAATTGCGCGGAAGTCTCAGGCGGGAGCGGGGGTCCTGAGTAAAAATCGAGGAAATCTCAGGCGGGAGCCGTTGTTGTTGTAGCCCGGGGGGCAGGGGCACAGTTTGAGCAGGAAGACTTTCCTTGAGAAAAAACAAGGTGCGAGCCCCGGGGGTGGCACTTCAATCGAAAAAAATCAATGTGCACCGGTGGGGGGGGATCAACCATAATTATTCTTCAAGAATGAGAGTTCAACAACAACAACAACAACAACAACAACAACAACAACAACAACAACAACAACAATCATTTTACCCGAACGCTCAGTGTTCTCACCAGTGCCAGGGTTTTCATGCGACGCCAGACAATACCCCCACTTCGTGGGGGGGCAGTTCAAGCTCTACCAAATATCCAAACGACTCTTCGCGACCACCCAAACCCAGCTTCCCGCCCTATGACGTTGGGACACTTCACTTCGTGGCGTGCGGACGACCGTGGCTACTACACTGGCGTGGGGTACACACCCACAGAACTTGGTCACTTATTCGGGGCGCGCGTGTGCCCAGCATCCTGCAATTGTGACATACAATACATGACACAGACAGACAGAGAGAGAGACAGAGAGCAGACAGAGAGAGAGACAGAGAGAGCGGAGTTGGTCACATTTTTGGGGCAAGTTCCTGAGATCGTCGTGTTTTTTGTTGGTCTTGCGCGCGCGAATGTCCACTTTACTTTTTTTTTGCAAGGGAGTATTGAAATTTGATTATGTTAGAACAAGAAAAAGTAGCTCGCGCGAGCTCATGTAACATAAATGTTGAAAAACCATTGGTTTTGTGGGAGTCGGACAGCGCGCGCGGGATGAAATTTAGACATTTTTTTTTGAAAAACCATTGGGTTTTTGATGTTTTTATGTTGAAATCGTTACGAAACCTAAGGTTCTGGAAGGATTTCGTCTTGCGCGCGCGAATGTCCACTTTACCTTATTTTTTGCAAGGGATTATTGAAATTTGATTATGTTAGAACAAGAAAAAGTAGCTCGCGCGAGCTCATGTAACATAAATGTTGAAAAACCATTGGTTTTGTGGGATTCGGACAGCGCGCGCGGAAGGACATTTTGACAATTTTTTCTTAAAAAACCATTGGGTTTTTGATGTTTTTATGTTAAAATCGTTACGAAACCTAAGGTTTTGGAAGGATTTCGTCTTGCGCGCACGAATGTCCACTTTACCTTATTTTTTGCAAGGGATTCTTGCAATTTGATCAAGTAAGAACAAGAATTTTCATTTTATAGTGTTTTTTGCAAGGGAAAACGGAGTACAACAAAACAACC